CTCACGCCTCTCACAGTGACCGTCGCCCGGCCTCTCTGGATCCGGGGCCTTTCAGGCTCAGCCGGCCGCTCCCTGCGACATGCAGGGGGTCACATGGCAGTGAGGTCTCCCGGGCCCCGGCTGAGGGACATTAGCGCAGCCCGGCCCCCCCGGGTAAGCGGACTCCTTGGGAGGAGGGGGCGTCCACCCCCACGCAGCCAGGTGGGGCCTCCACACCCGGCATTTCACTGCCTCAACAGCAAACGTTCTGTGCACATGAGTTAAGGTTTCAGTGGCCGATTTTAGAACAGAAAGGGGCTGAGCCAGAAAGTACACTGGATTCTCCGCCCACTCCCTGTCTCCAGGATGACAGGTCTCTGAAAAAGGCGGAACCGACTCACCGGATCCGGGGCCTTTCAGGCTCAGCCGGCCGCTCCCTGCGACATGCAGGGGGTCACATGGCAGTGAGGTCTCCCGGGCCCCGGCTGAGGGACATTAGCACAGCCCGGCCCCCCAGGGTGAGCGGACTCCTTGGGAGGCGGCACTGTCCACCCCCCCGCGCAGCCAGGTGGGGCCTCCACACACGGCATTTCACTGCCTCAACAGCAAACGTTCTGTGCACATGAGTTAAGGTTTCAGTGGCCGATTTTAGAACAGAAAGGGGCTGAGCCAGAAAGTACACTGGATTCTCCGCCCACTCCCTGTCTCCAGGATGACAGGTCTCTGAAAAAGGCGGAACCGGCAGATGCCACGAGGCAAAGTAAGGGCGTGATCAAGATGTTTACAGCATTCTCGTGGGTTTCAACCCTACTCAACTACACGCACCTGAACTCTATCACATAGACACGTGGAGCCACGTGTTCGGACCACAGGTTCAAGCTCACAACTACAGCTGTTGGCTATAATTGTGCTGGGAGGGCTCTGCCCTCCAGCTGGGACTTGCACGTGGCAACGAGAGGACTGTGCCCTCTCCTCAGTCCAAGGCTTGAACCTGGCCAAACACTGTCGCCGCGCCCCATACCCACGGCTCCCCAGATGCACCCTGCATGCAGGGCTGGCCTGTCCTGGCTCAGAGGGAGGCTGCCCAGGGAGCCCGCGGGGCCACAGGGACCCCAGCACCCACACAGAGCTGGTTTGTGCAGGGTTTGCCCCCAAACGCCGCCCAGCGACCTCTGAGCACGAGGTCAGAGGAAGCAGTGTGGGTGTCACGGGGAGGTGACCCCAAACACACTCTGCAGGTGGTGGGCTCTCGGGCTGGGCAGCGGAGCCCAGAGCCACTCGTGGGCGGGAACCAAAGGGATCCTTGGCCCAGACATGCCAGCCCCAAGCAGCACGGATCTGTGACGGATCAGAGCTCCGCACGGCCGGCTCACTGGGGAGAGGAGAGCGCGTCCCCTGGTTTTCACAGTGAGGACAGTGGATGGACAGACGGACCGTTCTCCTTAGCAGGATGGGCAGGTCTGTGAACATTGGCACAGCAGCCGTGTGTGGAGAGCGTTCACTGATTCACTCAGCTGCTCAGAGGACAGAGGGTCAGCCTCCTAACAGCCCAGCATCTCTGCGTGTATTCCCTCCCGCCTCACCGCCCCCCCATCTCCTGAACGCCTGGGGCTCTCGCTCCTGGACCAAAGGGGCACGTTCAGGAGACTTCTGTTTGGATGTTGGGGGCAGAGCACCGACGGGGCCTCAGCTCCGGCCTTGACGTGTGGGCGGTGATGGCCGCTGAGACGTCAGGGAGGACGAGGGGTGTCCCCGAGGCAGGCTGGCCCACCTCCTCCCCGGGCTGCCTCTCCGGGCGCTGGCTCTGCAGCCCGGGGCTGATGACTCTGGAGGGGGCAGTGTCCTCTCCCGCGTCCCCGCTGACGCCTCCCTTCTCCGCAGCGTCATCATGACCGGGGCCTACAACAACTTCTTCCGCATGTTCGACCGCAACACCAAGCGGGACGTGACCCTGGAGGCCTCGCGGGAGAGCAGCAAGCCCCGGGCCCTGCCCAAG